GTCCTGCCTTACACAACTGCCACCCATCCTCCCTCATTAACATCATAGAGGCAGGTTTATAACATACAGGAAAATCACACAGTACCAGGAATCATGGCCTAGCCAAACTGATACACACATTTTTGGGGGGACATAATTCAAACCATGACACCAAGCCATAGTATTTCAATCACCTCATATGCATGCCAAAGCTGGACAATGAAAAAGGATTATTGAAAAAGAACTGACAAATTCAATTTGTGGTGTTGGCAAATAATATTGAATATACCACGGACTGCCAGAAGAACGAACAAATCTGTCTCGGAGGAAGTACAGCAAGAATGCTCATTAAAAGCTAGGATGGCAAGATTTTCTCTTGCTTACTTTGGACATGTCATCAGGAGGAACCAATCGCTGGAGAAAGACATCATGCTTGGCAAAGTAAGGGTCAGTGAAAAAGAGGGAGAACCTCAAGATGGAATGATACCGTGGCTGCTACAATGGACTCAAACATACCTATTATTGTAAGGACAGCACAGGACTGAGCACCATTTCATTCAGTTATACATAAGGTCACTATGAGTCAAAAGCTAACTCAATGGCACCTCACAATGACAACAACAAAAATAGTCTGGGTATTAGATGATATTATGGCATTATTTTTAATTTTCCACATTTTCAAAAATTTCCAAGTTTTTTTATTATTTTTCATTTTTGTAGTATGATAATGGCATGTGGTATTCTTATTCTAAAGAAAAGGATTCTAAATTTATACATGTATATATACATGAATAAGAAGCCTTGGTCATGCAGTGGCCAAGTGCTTGGCTGCTAACCGAAAGATTGGTGGTTCAAACCCACCAGCCTCTCCCCTGAAGAAAGATGTGGCAGTCTGCTTTCATAAAGACTACAGCCTAGGAAATACTATGGGGCAGTTCTATTCTGTCCTATAAGGTCGCTGAGTCAGAATTGACTCGATGGCAATGGGTATAAATATATGTGCATAACTATATCTATCTATCTATCATATTGCCATGGAGTTTATTCCAACTCATGGCAACCCCATGTGTGCAGAGTAAAACTGCTCCATAGGGTTTTGAAGGCTGTAATCCTTATGGAAGCAGATCACCAGGCCTGTCTTCCAAGGCACCTCTGGGTAGGTTCCAACCGCTAATCTTTCAGCTTGTAGTGGAGCACTTAACCATTTGCACTACCCAGGGATTCATATATATATATGTGTGTGTGTGTGTATGTGTGTGTGTGTATTTATTTATATATATGTACACATATATAGTTAGTAAATATAAATAAAGGATATATGGTAATGATTAAATTCTTCTTTATACTTTTCTGTAGATTTATATCTTCAAGATAGAGAATAGGAAAAAGGAATAGGACTAATTTTTATAAGATAGTTTAAGAACAGAAAATGACAGAAGAATTTTGGAATTGTTAAGAGATCATAAATAGAGCCAGATATGCAAAGAAAAGAAGGATTCTACTAGGCACAGTAGGTAGCAGTTATTGGAAAAAAAAAAAATTATTCCATGTTCATATCCCTAAAGAGTGGGGGTACTCACCAAACTCATTACATGTGGACCACCAACCCTTAAAGGGGCTGCTCTGGCATCAATTACACATTTTTATTGAATATTTTCTATGCCAGGGATCATACTCATTCCTGGGACCACAAGGATTCAAGAAAAAAGACTCTTCACAGTTCACAGCACTCAAGCCCAATTTCTCTTGTCAGCAAACAGAAAAAAAGAGAGTGTCATTAAACAGCTAAAGAATCTAAAACCTTCATAATAATGCATTGTCTTGATGAAGCCAACATATTAGAAATGGATTTCCAAGGAGAATGAAAACAAAACAGAAGGGAAATGTACCAGTCCTGAGCCTGTTTGCTCTCAGACCAATACTTTTACTTACCCTGCTCTGTTCCATAGCTTGGAGTAGGGGTGAGGGAGGGAGACATGCTTGCAGGCTGCCTTTTCCAGTCTCCTGTGACAGCTGGCTTCCAGCTATTTTGGCCAGTGGAAGACTTTGGAAAGAAAGTAAAGGGCAGGAGGAGAGAGATAAGGCAAGGCGTTTACCCTCCTCCTCTGGCTTGATGGTTTTTCTCAGAGCAGCTGAGTCTCCTCAATGGCTCCAGCTTCCTCCAAATAGGTCTTCCATGATTCCAGTTTCTACAGCTGACCACAGCCCTTGGGCTCTGATAACACCTCCTCTTCCCTTTTTCTCCCAGCCCCAGGCTGCTGGTGCCCTCCTACAGCTTCCAATCTCAGGGCTGTCTCCCCATGCTGTACTGGAGTATCAACTTTTCCATTTCCTGTTCGAATAATCCCTTCATAAATTTCCCATGTTTCAAATATGCAGATTTTCTTTTTCCTACTTGGACTCTGGCTGATTTTAGGAAGTGAGAGGGAAATACAAGATAAAAAGAGGATGAATTTCAGCACAGTCATCTATCTATACAGACATGATGAGGAGGGAAGGGCAAATATTCTAATAGAGTTTTAACCAGCATATGCCATTCCCTTCTACAGAATCATAACCTTTGTCTGGTTGTTTTTGAGGCAGACAGCCTCAGAGCCCAACGCTTCTAACAGACCCCTGCTCTGGCTTAACCTCCTACACCAAGCAGAATAGGCTGCACATTCTTCTGAAATTGTCCTTGACAAGATAACCACAGAACAGCCATAGTGGGCCTCAATTGGTCTTAGCAGGTTTTCTACAACATCTTAACACTTCAAGTGACCTATCATCTCATTAAGTGAAAAATACATACAAGCACCCCGCCTCTGGGTGGAGACTTAACATGCTAATGAAGGAAAACTGACCTCCTCCTCCATCCTGGAGAATCGAACCCTTGTCTAGAGAAAATGCATAGTCATCCCTAAGCCCTGAGCGCCTGCTTGAAGCTCTATCCTGAATATTCATGATGCATTTGCATTTCCTTGTCTGCTCTCTGTAAAAAGCCACCTCCCCAAGCTGCCTGAGGCCTGTGACGAGTCTTGGAGGCAGCAGCCCCAACTGTCTCCTTTCCTAGCACAACAAAATAAAGGCGCCTTTCCACTTTCTTACCTCGGCCTCTTGTTTATTGGCTGTATCAAGTCCTGCCAAGCAAAACCTGGGGTTTCCACCTGGCAACATTTTTGTTTTAACTTTTAAGCCTGGCTTTGTTGCTCAATCTCATTACTCATCAAATATCGGTACCAATCTAGCACAATGGTTTTAAGAACAAATTCTAGAGGTAGAAAACCTGGGTTTAATCCCAGTTTTACCACTTAATTCCTCTGTGACCCTGCATATTTAACCTGAAGTGCCTCAGTTTTCTTATCTGCAAAATGAAAGTAGTAAGAACCCACCTCATAAAGGCACTAAACCATGTCATTTAATTCATTTATTTGTTTCTGTTTATTTTTATATGGCAAACTTATGAATTGATTAATATTTGCTATGCTGCCTTTCCATATGATTATTTTCATTTCAGGTCACAGCTTTCAAAGTACTTTAATATACATAGTATCATTCCATCCAACAATCTAGTTGAGATAGTAGAGTAGGTTTTAGTATCCCAGTTTTACAGATAATAACACTGAATCTTAAAGCAAAAACAAGCAAGAGAGATATAAGCAAGATTAAAACTTAGGTCTTCTGATTCATAGTTCTGAATTTTTCTATGACGTCATTAATCAGCCTCTGAAATTAATGGATCTTGGGATTCTACCCTGCTTACCTTTAAAACATCCCTCTAACAAAAAGAAAACCAACATAAAAAAACACTAAGAAAACAAAAAAACAAATTGAAGGGAGCAATCAGTTATAAAATCAACAAAGCAGATGACAAAGAATTGATTAAAGACGGCTACTTAAAAGACTTAAAGCGTGTCATTAATCCTGCATTATAAGAATTTGTGGGGAAGACTGAGAACTCAGCAGATGTACTGGAAGAATCTAGAGGAAAAGATATAAATGTAGGTGGGATAGAATTCATTAGCTCTATTGCCTTGGGTTAATTCAATGTGATAAGTTATTTGATTCCTTATTGTTTCCAAGGGAACTACGGTTGACTCATCTTACAGTTTAATGTCTTACAATCACATATACTATTTTATACATGACATGAGCATAATGGTTCTTACTCTACAATTTTTCTGTGCACTTAACTCTCACATAGTATACATATTGATATCGGTCTCCATTTTTAGTAAAGCTGTGAATTAAACCGGAATGGTTACCTAATATTTTTGGCCTTTTCTCATTATTTTCAGTGATCTAACAAACGTTTAACACCTGTTGCCATCGAGTCGATTCTGACTCATAGTGGTTAAGAGCTACATCTGCTAACCAAAAGGTCATTAGTTCGAATCCACCAGGTGCTCCTTGGAAACTCTATGGCGCAGTTCTACTCTCTCCTGTAGGGTCACTATGAGTCAGAATCGACTTGATGGCAACGGGTTTAGTAATTTTTTTTTTTTTTTTTAATGCTTAACGATAGAGCACCATACCCACATTCTTCTAATCAGGTTGCCAGATTATATTCACTTGCCTTCTCTTGCCATACTGACATTTTAAAATATATCACTGATTCTAAATAAAATGTATTTGGGCTCATTTCAGTTTTAATTATGTTTTTCTCATATAACTTTCATAATAAACACATGAATGCATGCAAGATCAAAGCCAAGTTTGGAGATATTCAAGCTAGACCATATGAAAACAACATCATTTCTTTTTCATATTTTCCCCAAATGCACCTAAATTCTTAAGTATAAGCTTTCTGAACTTTTAAGATACAGGATATATAAAACCTTGTAAAAGCTGACATTCATGATGTGGAATATTTCATTCAGCTTTTTGAAGGTATTTAATGACTTGGCCAGATACCATTAAATGAATGGGAAAAGGAAGAACATACTATCTAGAAAGCATTACATCATAAAACAGATTGTCATCAGACATAAAAAAAAAAAAGTAGCATTAGTTAGTTCAACCGGGATAATAAGGATGTATAGTGGAACTCACAGACACCCCACAACACTGGCAGAAAAGGAGAAATATCAGATAGCACGTAACACTGCACCAGTGAACAAACAGAGAAAGAAGTCATTTCTGAGCTCTGAAGTAACTTCCGGAAGACCTCTAAAACGTTAGATAAAAACAAAATCCTTTAAGTTTAAGGTCAAAATTTGTAAACTGCACTTTCAGAATGTACATAGATCATGGGCATTTCCATGAATTATTAATAAGGATCCCAATACAAAGAGATGACAATTTTAGTGGACACTAGCGTAGGATGAGAATCCTATGAGTCATACAGAAAAAGATCAATAGGAACAGAATGATGAACTAAGCAAAAAATTGCCCTAGATCAGACAGATGACATTCTCTTAAACTCTCCAAACTAAGGATTTTCACAATTTTGGAGCAGTGCTATTGCAAATTATTTTCAGATCCCACACTTTGTTGATATATACATCTGTATATCTCTCTGCCTGTATCTTTCTATATAGCTAGCTAGTTAGCTATTTTTGTATTAAATATGTTTAATTTAACAATATAGTAATCTAAATAAGTATCTCAGTTCATAATGTTTCTTTAGTCATTCTAGAAGGTATCAGTCACTTCTAGATTAATTTCTTGTTCTAAAAATCCCGGAAGGAACAACTGCACATTCTATGTGATAAGGGATGTATATCCATAAATATAAAGAACTCTCAAAATTCAACAATATTGTTCACTCATAAAAAGGAATGAAGTAGTGTTACATGCTACAAAATGGATGATTCTAATTATACGAAATGTCTAGAACAGTAAAATCTATAGAAACAGAAAGTAGATTAGTGGTTGTCAGAAGATAGGGGATGGAGTGATGGGGAATTGGGAGTGACTGCTAACAGGTGATGAAAATGTTCTGGAATTACACAGTGGTGATAGTTGCACAACAATGTGAAAATACTAGAAACCACTGAATTGTATACTTTAAAATGTTGAATTGTATGTTATGTGAATTATATCTCAATAAAAAAGTACAAAAGTAACCTCAATAAGAAGAAGAAATATTAGGATAACAAGAAAACTAACAACCAATATAAACACAATAAGTTAATATGAAAACTAAATTTATTATAGAAAGCTAATGAGAAAAATGGAGCCCTGGTAGCACACTAGTTAAGAGCTCAGGCTGCTAACCGAAAGGTCAGCGGTTTGAATCTACCAGCCCCTCCTTGGAAACCCTATGGTGCAGTTCTACGCTGTCCTATAGTGTCTTTATGGGTCGGAATCGACTTAACAGCACACAAACGCAACGACAATAAGAAAAATGACAAACCCTCCCACCAAAAAAGACAAAAGCTTTGAATAGATCCTCTCTAAAGAAGATACACACTTGGCAAATAAACACATAACCAGTTGTTCAACATCGTTAGTCATTAGAGAAATATAAATTTAAACCACAATGAGATAGCACTAACTCATTTAACTCCTGTTAAAATGACTAAAATTAAATAGACTGACTTCACCTAGTCTTCAACAAGTGTTGTGAACATTGAACAACTGAACTCTCATATACTGGAAGGGGGAATGTCAAATGCTAAAACTGAACTGGAAAATAGTCTGGTAGTTTCTTAAAAAGCTAAAAATACACCTACCATAAGACCCTACCATTCCATTCCTATGTATTTATCCAAGTGAAATTAAAACATATGCCCATACAAAGACTTATAAATGAATATTCACAGCAACATTTATTTGTAATAGCTCCAATTTGGAAACAACCCAACTCTCCAACTGTCCATAGGTAAATAAACAAAATATGGTCTATCTATACAATAGGATATTACTGAGCAAAAAAAAAGGCAGACTATTTATACATATAATAATATGAGTGAGTCTCAAAATAATTATACAGAATGAAAGAAGCCAGGGGAAAAAGAGCACATATGGATGACTCTACTTATAAAATTGTAGAAAATGTAAACTCTTCTATGGTGACAACAAATTAGGGGGTTCCTGGGGACAGGGACTGGGAGTAGGGTGGGGGGAGGTTGGAAGCAAGAGGTTACAAAAGGGTATGTGGAAACTTTGGGGAAATGTGCACAGTTCTTTATCTTGACTGTGGTAATGGTTTTATTGGTGTATTCATATACCAGAATTTATCAAATTGTACTCTTTAAATACATGCAGTTTATCATATATCAACTATACTTCAATAGAGGAGCCCTGGTGGTGCAATGGTTAAGGGCTTGGCTGTTAACAGAAAGGTCTGTGGTTCAAACTCACCAGCTGCTCCGCCAGAGAAAGAACTGGCAATCTGCTCACATAAAGATTTCAGCCTAACAAACCCTATTGGGTAGTTCTACTCTGTCCTATAGGGTCACTATGAGTCAGACTCAGCTCG